ATATATATATATATATATATATGATAAAATTACATGAAAAAGTCTTATAATAGTGAAAAATTTAGTGGCAAGAAATAATAAAACTGATATTATTTGTTTTTTAATTTAACTGTCTAAAGAATGCCTAGCTGCTTTTAAAACTGTTACTTTGAAGTTTCTCTATTTCAATTTATACCCATTCATTTGGAATTGATTGAAAGATTCATTTGGATATCTGTTCTGACATGGAACTATTTCATCATGCAATAAACTTGTACAAACCAAGGTAGAACAATGCCATGGGTCTGTAGTATGTTTGTACCCTGAGCCTCTAGGAATTCTGCAGAACTTGGCCAGACTTGTAGAAAACCTTGTAGAACTTGGCATCTTCTTTTCACAAAGAGCTCCAGGTTTTGGGGAGCTTAAAATAAACTTCAAAATCCATTAACCTAGGAAATCAATGTGACATATTTTAGAGTACAATATTTTAAATAAATTCTCTTAGTGTTTAGCACTAATGATGTCGGTGTGGTAGGAATCTGTCACAAGTACATTGAAGTGTGTATGGGGAGTAATGAGACCACAATCTTAACACAGTAGGTTATGTATCTCGACCCTTTTTCTCTGTAGAACTCCCAGATTGGAAGTGTTAAAAGAGGCTACTGCCGGTGTGACGGGCAAATACCCACACAATCATGAGCTGACACCCTTGATTTGGATGACATAACTCTCAGAGGCTTACAAAGTGAAAACGTTTTCATAGCTACTTCAGTGATTTTTCAGGCTTTTTTGATGTCTGAATAATGTGTTGTTGGAAGTATCTTGTGTTTGTCCACAAATTGTTTTGCCTAAGTGATACAAATAAGAATTATCTTAAATTATTACATATATCACTTCTTTTCTATTCATTTGGCTTTAAAATCATTAAAAGGGTTAAAAAATTGCATAACGGGGTGAAGTATTGACTACAATAGTAAGATCACAGAATTAATAATACATATGAAACCCAACTTCCACATCTTCGAGATGAAGATGATAAAAACTATAAGGGGGAGCCCCCCATACACGTACACAAAGACTAATTAATGACTAGCAGGAGTAACTTAAATCAGACATAAGAGGAACTTCTGATTGTAATAGTTTCTAAAAGCCAGTGCTGGCTAGGAGGCAATTTAGAATGGCTTCTCCACTAATTATCTATTAAGAATTGACAGTGATTTCTGTCACATGGTAAAGGAAGACCCTTGTTTGTGGCAAGGAGCTGGACTTAGTTGACCTTAAACTTCTACCAGCTTTGATTCTTCTAACTGCTTGGGAGGAACACCATTGGCAAGAGGCAATCATTAAGGAATTTGGACAACTTTTCCCTGCCTGGGTCCTGACTGAAGATGAAAAGATGATTTTTAAGTAGCTAGTTTGTGCTATCTAATTTATAGAAGACTGTAATATACTGGAGGTTTAATTGTACACAGTTCACCTGGCAGAAGTTACCTGTAAACATGCAAAAAGACACAAGTCAAAGAATTGACTTCATTTTGCTATGGGAGCATAGTTGTGAAACTGAGATTAAAGAGTAAGTCAGAAATATATTTTAAAAATATATAGTAATTTGATAGATTTTTGATGACAGTGGATTGTGCAAGGTTATCACTAATACCAAAAAATAGCCCAACTGTCATACTGGCGAGCAGACACTAGAATCTTCATTGTGTGTGTGTGTGTGTGTGTGTGTGTACATATACATTTTTTTAATCCCCAAGGGGGAAATTATAAAAATTGTACTATCTATCTCTAGGAGAAAAGTCTCTAAGGTACTTGGTGATTAGCTTACATCTGCATTTTAACTTAGAATTTCTGGTGAGTCCTAAAACTAGCTTCATCTTGTCCTCAGGAATGATAGACCAGTGGTTCTCACGAGTAAGTACTCATCAGAATAACTTGGGAGTTTCCAAAAATGCTAATACCCAAATGAAATCACAGTATCTAGGGTTGGGACCCGGGCATTAAGCGTTCCCAGGTAATTTCAATGTGCAGTCCATTTGTAAAGTTCCTGGTGAGACTAAGTTAACAAAAATTTAGATCAGTTACACAAGGTATGAGACACATTTTCTCTGTCTAGTCAATACCCACATCATTTTCCTGACCTGACCGTTGAGAGTACGTGACTGGACACACCAGTTGTCATCTGCCTTGTGTCTTTTGCCGTATACTCTGTCTATGCATATCACTTGTGCAGTCTGAGGAGACAAGTTAACTGTGACAGGATAAAGGCACCTGACATAAAATTTCAGAAATGCTATTTTAATAGTTCATTTTAATTGGGAAATTGCTTTACCCTTTTCATTGTCTCCTGTTTTTACGTTACATAACATATTTTTTTCATTTTGGAATCTGGTGCTCAGTGGGCAAAACTGTTATTGTTCCCATTCCTAAAATACATAGTTTTCTCTTCTATCTGTAAACCATGATTTAAAGAACCAGGACTGCAGAAGTTGTCCTAGTGAAATCTCACTGAAGTTCCTCTGACTACTAAAAACCAGGAAAGTCAGCCTTAGCTCTGCATGTGTGCAAAAGGCAGGACAACCCTGCACTTGTCACCTCCTGGGTGGCCTCTGCAGGAGACTGGGAGGCGTCATCCTCCGCCACTTGGTTCTCACGAGCGGTCAGAAGATGGAGAAGTTCACACCCTCAGCAGCCCCCAGCTTGCAGTGTGCAGCAGACATAGCTAAAAGACTTCTCTCCCACTGGGACAAGTGTCCCTGGCCCCCCTTCCTTTTGCTCCACTTGAATCCTCACTTCAGAAGATGCCTTTTGAAGCAGTCTTTTTCCTGGAGGAGGAGAG